GGAGGATGGTGTCTCTTTGGGTTGGAGCAGAGGCAGGCACCAATGTAGAAGTGGGGTTTGTGGTTACTGATGGAGCTACAAATATGGTGAAAGCTTTGCGTGATGGTAACCTTGTTGGTATGCGCTGTGCAGCGCACATTATCCATCTAGTAGTAAAGTCAGCAATCCCAGAAGGTAATAACAGAGTTTCCAGTGTGATTGAACGGTGCAGGAGGATTGCTGGGCACTTCCACCGCAGTGTGAAGGCTAGCCAACTGTTGAGGCAGGAACAAGAGAAGGCAGGTCTTCCCATACACTGTCTACGACAAGATGTCAGTACACGGTGGAACTCTACTCTGGAGATGCTGGAGAGGATTTTAGAGCAGCAGAGGGCAATCCATAGTCTGGCATCAGACCAATACATCGGTATTGGTTCTCCACTAGGTAGAGACGATTGGACAGTGATCGCTCAGCTAGTGGCAATCCTGAAACCATTCAGGGATGCCACTGAAAATTTAAGCTTGAACACTGCCAATCTGGGACAGGTAATCCCTGTTTTCATCCATCTAGGGAGCAAGATGGGTGTCTTCCTTGAACGCCAAGAGGTTGTTCAAGGTGATCCTTTACATCCTGATGTAATAACTCTGGTCAGGAGGCTGAAGGATCAGCTTAAAGTTCGCCTACGTGAGCGAATGGATAATTCTCCTGAACTGATGCTAGCTTGCCTGTGTGATCCAAGGATTAAGGGAAAGCTTGCACTCAGATCCAATAACTTAACAAATTGGAGGGAGAAATTGATCCAGAGGGTGTGTGACTGGCAGCAAAAGAGGGGAATGCTGTCTGAGGGAGTAGTTCAGCAGGAGGCTGAGATGTCGGCTACTTCTAGCAGAAGCAGTGGCACTACCACCACCACCACACAACTGAGTGGAGCAGCTGCATTTTGGGAAGAGTTGCTTGAGGATATAGTTGGACCCACTGAGAGTGCTAGCAGCAGACAGGAGAGTACTGCCTCAGAAATGGTCAGAGCGTACCTCTCTGAACCTCCTTTGCCCCATAATGTCGACCCTCTTAGCTATTGGGATGAGAAGAAGAGTGTGTGGCCTGCACTCTCATTGGTTGCGCAGGAGCTGCTATCATGTCCGCCAACCACTGTCCCAAGTGAGCGTGTATTTTCGGTAACCGGTAATATACTGAATCCACAGCGCTCACAAATGTCACCTCATCTCATGGAGCAGATTGCCTTTCTTAAATTCAATCTGCCTAAATTGGGGTACCCTGCTCTACACTTTGACTGTAATTGAGCTTAGGGTTTCTCAACTTTCTTTCTAATTATATAAAGTTGGTGGCGACAAAATAGTTATTTTATTTCTCATTCCTCCTTATTCTTCCATTCTCTCCCCAATCCCCAAATCCTTAAAATCTCTCTTAAAGTGGTACTGGTTTCTCCCCTCTGGCTGTGTCTGACAGCGGTGTGGCAACGCCTGCTATCTCCGCCAGCGCAGTCAGTTAACGCTAGGGCATTGTGTTTGAGCTCTGGAGGTCCGCTTCCCACGCCAAGGACTGAAGGAGTTTGGATGCTTTGCCCTGGGGATGAAACAAGTGAGTGGGTCGCCAATTGCCCACTCACTCCTCTTTACCATTTTATTTTTCTATTTTGCTGTTGGTGGTTGCAAAACATCTTTTTTTTCTCATTCCTCTTTATTCTTCCATTCTCCTCCCCCCCCAAATACCTTAAAATCTCTCTTAAAGTGGTACTGGTTTCTCCCCTCTGGCTGTGTCTGACAGCGGTGTGGCAACGCCTGCTACCTCCGCCAGCGCAGTCAGTTAACGCTAGGGTATTGTGTTTGAGCTCTGGAGGTCCGCTCCCCACGCCAAGGACTGAAGGAGTTTGGATGCTTTGCCCTGGGGATGAAACAAGTGAGTGGGTCGCCAATTGCCCACTCACTCCTCTTTACCATTTTATTTTTCTATTTTGCTGTTGGTGGTTGCAAAACATCTTTTTTTTCTCATTCCTCCTTATTCTTCCATTCTCTCCCCAATCCCCAAATTCCTTAAAATCTCTCTTAAAGTGGTACTGGTTTCTCCCCTCTGGCTGTGTCTGACAGCGGTGTGGCAACGCCTGCTACCTCCGCCAGCGCAGTCAGTTAACGCTAGGGTATTGTGTTTGAGCTCTGGAGGTCCGCTTCCCACGCCAAGGACTGAAGGAGTTTGGATGCTTTGCCCACTCACTCCTCTTTACCATTTTATTTCTTTCTATTTTGCTGTTGGTGGTTGCAAAACATCTTTTTTTCTCATTCCTCTTTATTCTTCCATTCTCCCCCCCCCCCAAATACCTTAAAATCTCTCTTAAAGTGGTACTGGTTTCTCCCCTCTGGCTGTGTCTGACAGCGGTGTGGCAACGCCTGCTACCTCCGCCAGCGCAGTCAGTTAACGCTAGGGTATTGTGTTTGAGCTCTGGAGGTCCGCTCCCCATGCCAAGGACTGAAGGAGTTTGGATGCTTTGCCCTGGGGATGAAACAAGTGAGTGGGTCGCCAATTGCCCACTCACTCCTCTTTACCATTTTATTTTTCTATTTTGCTGTTGGTGGTTGCAAAACATCTTTTTTTTCTCATTCCTCTTTATTCTTCCATTCTCCTCCCCCCCCAAATACCTTAAAATCTCTCTTAAAGTGGTACTGGTTTCTCCCCTCTGGCTGTGTCTGACAGCGGTGTGGCAACGCCTGCTACCTCCGCCAGCGCAGTCAGTTAACGCTAGGGTATTGTGTTTGAGCTCTGGAGGTCCGCTTCCCACGTCAAGGACTGAAGGAGTTTGGATGCTTTGCCCTGGGGATGAAACAAGTGAGTGGGTCGCCAATTGCCCACTCACTTCTCTTTATCATTTGTGGTTACATTTTTATTTACTATCTCACTTTTTTTTCCTTTTTCTATCTTTTTCACTTTCTTTCTTATGATTCAAATTAAATGTGCGCATGCACATTCGGATCTGACATCGGCAGGGTTTGGAGAGTTCTCCAGCCCAGAGGGAGTCCGGCGCTGGAGAAAGGTAAGTGGCTCAAGGGGTTTTAACCCATTCATCCCAACGGGACAGGGGCCCTGAGGGTGGGTGGACCTAATGAGCCTATAGTGGCAGGAAAACGAGTTTGTTTTGCTGGCACTATAGTGCTCCTTTAACTCCTACCAGACAGCCACTAGAGCAGGGGTTCCAGACCCGGTCCTCAAGTACCCCCTACCAGTCCCGGATTTAGGGATTACCCTGTTGTGTCTAAAGTGTTTTTTGTTTTTTCACCCAAAACACCTTAGGCACAATTGAGTAATCCTTCAATCCTGTACTGTTAGGGGGAACATAAGGACTGGGTTGAGAACCACTGCGCTAGAGGGACTTCCTGTGCTCTATCAGAAATCTGTATCTATCAGATTTCTATACCTAGGTCACTTCCGGTGCACCCACGTCACTGTAAGTAAAATAAAAAAATGTCACGTCACCGTAACTAAAATAAAAGGGAACAAATAAATAGGGCTAAATGCACGAACGGCATAAAAAAAAGGGCACTGGTATCCACAAAAATGGGGTTTTGTCACAGTTACTACACACACAGTAAAAGATATATATATATATATGTATATATGGGAAGGCGGAGCCTGGAGTTGTGGGAGGGGTTGCAACCGGCCTATATAAACCCACTACTTACCTCCATACCTTGCTGACAGTGCTTGGTCACTTCCTGTTGCTTGAGGTCAGCATCAGAATGATTTCCACTTCCGGGTCATCCAGACTCCATTTTACCTGCTTACTCCATGAGGTTTTCTAAGCTGAGCTGTGTCAGAAATCCAGCCACAGGCTTTTCCGGCCTACCAGCTTTTTCTTCAATCTATCGCTGTGGATGGTGTCCAAGTGGCTCACAAACCGTAAGTCGACCTACCCGTTACGCCAGGCATCAGTTGCACGGGTCAGGTCCTCACTTTACGGCTGCATTTTGTCTAAATCTGTCCTAAAACCATTGCATGTTCATGCATATCATTCGTTTAAATTCACTTTTTTATATCTGTCACTGGCTCATTTTGAGCTTTAGCATACTCCCAAACGGGAACACATTCTGTTTCAATTACCTAAACATACTAGGCAATTCTGTGCATGCATTTCAAATCTCACTGCTCGTTTCGTTTGGTTTCCCTGACATGCCAGGCTCACGGTTCGTGCAATTTACTACCAAACGGGAACTAGTTCATGCATTTACTACTGTACTACACACACGTTTTGTGCGTTTACAACCCACTAACGGAACTTTGGTTTGTTACAATGACTGTTATTAAGCTATTATGTTCACATATTGTATATTGTCAAACGGGCACTGTTTGTTTCCCTGTCATACAACTATAATGCTGGGGCATAGCTCACGAACAATGTTTCATGTAAACCACACTGACCCCTACAGGTCACTCTCAAAATCTCACGTTAACCTTGCATTTGGATTAACCCCTTAAGGACCAAACTCTGGAATAAAAGGGATTCATGTATCCTGAAGGGGGTTAAAGGGTATTTTACCATACAATCAGCATTTCTGACCCCTACTGGTCAACATCAAAACTGTCTTCACATGTCATATACAATTACTAGCCAATATCAATTACACATAAGATTGTTTTAAACCTAACCATAAATTAAACTCCAGCACTGGCTCAACAATTTGTCTTTCACATCAAGACTAACAGTGGTTCTATCAACACTGCCACCTACAGGTCTGTCAAGTACATTGACAATTTTCATGGGGTTTTACAGACACCAAAAACACTGACCCCTATAGGTCAACAGATAAACAACATTTCACATACCAATCAGCATCAACTACACTACCACCTATAGGGCACTCGGCAGTTCTCCAGTACACTTGCATTTTGCAACACCATGTTCACTGACCCCTACCATTCAATAAGGCATACAACAATTCACAGAGCAAGTAGTATAAATACACATATTATTACAAAGTAGCACACGCATCTGTATATACGTAACGGGTAATATAGTTCACATACATTTTTCATAGCACGCTGCTCACACAACAGACTTTCCCCTAGCAATGGGACATACAACATCCAAGGTGGGAACAGACCACTTTTCACTTGTACATACGGCACTTAATGGGTTAAGATTGATACATATTTAACCAGTATGGCTATGATGATTTAATATTTACATGTCACGCACTTTACTTTTCACATATACTGTATGTTTTAAGATAAGCTTGGTCTATGCCATTTTTCCTTATGCCATACGATTTTATCCATTCAGGTTACAGTTACTACTAAAAAACCTATACGGATTGTCAGGTTCAATACCATACTACCAGGTACGTACACCTGCTCACGTAGTTATCCATCTCTTACCTTCCCTGGAATAGTAATAGTGTACTGGCAATTAGGGTTCTAGGGCCCAATAGGTATTACCCTCTTTTTTTCTGTTTTATGCTTCGGTTAGTGGTCCCGCGAGGCCAACAACCCGCCTCACACACGGAGGCATACATCCCTCGGGCCACTTGTGAACTAGCCGCCTCGCATTGTATCATAGAGAGGGTCTCACCTGTCACTCCCCTTCCTATTTTTCTGGTTACTGTCACCGAGAGGCCAACATCCTGCCACAACGTTCGGTGGCCACAAAAAATCCCCTCGCGCCAAGCATAGATAGAGCCTCTCAAGCCACTTGGCAACTAGCAGGGCCTCACCAGTCACCAAAAAACACCAAGCCTAATCGTTTCGCCTTACGGCTTAGCTAGCAAGCCAGTACAAGAGCCTGGGTACAAATATATAATTGCAATCTTTATTGTTATTTAAGTATTTCCCAAAAAGGTGGTAAAGAATCTCCTCTTCCTAGCACCCCGGCTAGAAGTGATACACTTTCATCTCTTACCTTCCCTGGAATAGTAGTAATGTAATGGCAATTAGGGTTTTATGGCCCAATAGGTATTACCCCCTGTTTTCTCTGCTTTACGCTTCATTTAGTGGTCCCACGAGGCCAACACCCCGCCTCACACTCTGAGGCATACACCCCTCGGGCCACTCGTGAGCTAGCCGTCTCGCATTGTATCATAATGAGGGCGTCACCTGTCACTCCCCTTCCCCTTGATACACCTTCAAGCAGAGGAGATGTGGCTCCAACCTAAGGAGGCGACAAATCCCCTACCCTGCCACAGCAACGAACGCAGCGTTATTCAAACTCCTCCATACATTAACGGATAAAACGGAGACAGGGGAAGGCCCAGCAACACCAACTAAGGTGAAACCTAGGCCATGCTAGCCTCACTCAAACTCATGAGCCAAAAAATTTACGACAGACGAAATTCGGTTACCGGGTACAATCAATTCTTGGTACAAGACGTTAACCCTGCACATATGATCCCGGTACATTGGGGAAACAAGGCATAAATATGTATGATGCTGTATCTATGATGGTCAGACCCAGAGATTCCAGGTAAATCGGGAACAGACCATCCCTTGGTTGTGTTGGCATTTTGAATATGTAGAGATGCTTATTTGTGCAGGTACCCATACAGAAGGGATTTTCTCCCAAACAAATGGACGAGCACTCTCAGGCTCCAGGTACCAGCACCTCTGAACTACCAGAGACAATTGGTATGAGTCGTTGCATTGCATATAGAATGTTGCATATACGTTCAAATCATTCAGGGCACATGACAAACCATGTGTCCCAATACAACTTACAAATAACGTACTCACCATCTGTACACACCAATCCATTTTCAACACTACTAACTCATCACCCTTCCAGACTTGTAGTAGATTTACTAAAGCTCCGGAGCTTCAAAGGGCTCCCATACAGGTATCATACATACACCTTCAAGGAATATAGCATGTCCTCACTTACAGTCAGCACACAGAACCATCGGCTGTAAACACACTCATAGCCAAGAATAACAGAGGGGTTTTTACTTGGGTTTTCCAATCTCCACCATTTACAGCATGGCGCCAAACACAAACACATTGGTATTGTCACAAGGGAATCTTCCCTTAAACAAAGACTAACCATAGACTTATTGGCACCACACACCTTCGCTACCCCAAGTCTCAACTCCCTCATACCCTCCGAAGAGTTTCCTTACTATACACACCATTGATCTACCTTTACAGCTATCACTCAAGCATGGGTTGAAGCTTGGTTAAGTAAGACCAATATCATCAACACAGTAAATGGCTACCATTACCCTACACACTGGCACTTACATGGCATAAAAATAGGCAATTCTTTCCCCACTAAAAGCAGCTCCTGTGGAATGGGGTAAATCATGGTCAGGGTCATCAATCCATTGTTACTCAGACAACTAAGCACATGGCATATCATCAACAACTTCGCCATGAGACGAGCTTTCATCTCACGTCTACTCGGTTTGTTACCCAACTTACCCAACAACAACAGCAGGGTTACACTGAACATTCAGGCTAGGGCGCATCTGACCAGGTGGTACCATTTCCTGTCGGACTGGAATGGGAGAAACTTGTTCATACCACCGTTGACATTAAACTCCCCTGTGTTATGGACGGATGCTGCAGGTTACGCAGGTTTCACAGCCATCTTCGAAGACAGGTGGTTGAGGGACACTTGGCCTAGCAAAGCACTAGGATTACCCACTTTCACAAAGACTTCGGCACTGTTTGAGATCTACCCCATAGTGGCAGCAGCTAAAGTCTGGGGCCACTTATGGGGAGGCAAAGCTGTCAAATGCTACTCTGACCACATGGCGGCTTGCGAGATTCTGAACAAAGGCAGGTCTTCTTCACTAACCATCATGAACCTGGTCAGGAGACTCACATGGTTGGCAGCCACACAAAAAATTTTTTTTTTTTTCCTGACTTGCATACACGTGCCAGGTCACCATAATTCAGCAGCTGACACACTATCCTGTTCAAAATTACAGGTTTTCAGACAGCTACACCCAACAGCAGAGGAACAGCCAAGAAAGGCGCCGCTGTTCAGACACCTCATCCTGGACTAAAATTACTCATGGAGCACGGGAGGGCACTAGCACAGGCCTCACTTTCCCCAAACACCAGACGCATGTACAACCGAGCCTTAATGTTATTCAACAAATTTGTTTCAGAATACATCATTACGAATCCTTATAGGTTAGATACTATGGTGGCTTTCACCTCTTTTTGCCATCTCAACTTGAAACTGGCACACAACACCATAAAACTCTATTTAACTGGAATACAGCATCATGTAAGCAACACATATTCCAGTATAAAAAACTTCCTATCAGCACACCCCATTAAAATATGCTAAAAGGCATCCAACGCCTAGAAAACCTAAAACCTACTAGATGGCTACCAATTGACGCAGAGAAATTCAGGGCATTGTCTGACATGTTAGATACCAAACCCTTTGATAATCACACCAATAACACACTCAAAACAGCCATATACCTGGCATTTTATGCGTCCCAACGAACTCACCTTAAGCAACATCAACAATAAGGGAAATATACTGTGTGTGTCACACATAAACATAATAGGTGATCACTACACATTGACATTAAGACATTCAAACGAATCAAATGGGTCCGCACCTTGACATTCAATTTTACCCAACCGGCAATCATTGGGGCCCCGTACAACTATTCGACAAATACATGGCAGGTATGGCTTATCAACCCAAACAAGCTCCTCTCCTCACAATACACAGTCAACCCCTGACTACATCCAAAATTCGTCAAATACGTGAGATTATTATGTACAAGAATCGGGTACGATCCCACGGCATATACAGGCCACTCCTTTCGTATCGGAGCGGCAACATCAACCTCCAGCCAAAACGTACCAGTTCATATTACCGTTACATACCTCAACCTGAGAAAGAGTTGAGACAAACTTTTAAACAATTGGCAAAGTAGGGAAGCTCGGGTAATAATGTATGTGTATACGTATTAAGTGTGGAACTGATACTTCTCTTTTGCCCTCTTTATTTACAGGCTGACCCGTTCGTCGGTTTCGGCACACTACAACCGATTTAGTATATTAGACTAATGTTTAGAGGTATAGGTCCACATAAATACGGCCTTCTTCCCTGACCACAAATGGGAAGGCGGAGCCTGGAGTTGTGGGAGGGGTTGCAACCGACCTATATAAACCCACTACTTACCTCCATACCTTGCTGACAGTGCTTGGTCACTTCCTGTTGCCCCACCCACCACTCCACAAAAGGAATCAATTAATTGGTTGGCCCTCTTTATTTACAGGCTGACCCGTTCGTCGGTTTCGGCACACTACAACCGACTTAGTATATTAGACTAATGTTTAGAGGTATAGGTCCACATAAATACGGCCTTCTTCCCTGACCACAAAT